ACCCCTCGGTATGTATGATCCCCACCAACCACACACCTCAAAGAATATCCGACAAATGGACACTTGAGAGTTGAAGAACTAGCTACTTTTGTTCTTTTTTGGTGTTGTGTATTTTCAGTCTTTTTTTCTTTGAGTGTTCAAACTACCACCCACTATTTTAATGGGTTAATTGATATTTGTTACCTATCAAGTCTTCACATCTTCATCGACCAAACTCGTAGCTTCTTGCTCTTCAGTGGACAAGCTTCCATCATGGCTTGCAGACTGACCTTTTCTGTCCTGCGCACCTGGGTGTTTTCAACTATTCGAAACGGTGCATGGTTCGGCATCCTAGGGGACAGACACAACTCAAAGCGCGCACTGATGATGTCTCCCCGTTTGATGACGAGACGTTTGCAACCTCGTGACCAGGCCACACAAGTGGATTTACAAACACGCGGTCAACATTTAGATTCTTAAGTTGGTTCTGTCCTCAGGATGGTGTAATCCCTATTTTCGACAGCGATCAGCATGTTAATTGTGTTTTTAAAATGCACACAACTTGGTCTTATCCAAAAAATGATCCTATTGACAGAGCTCACTTTGCTGGTTCGGAAAACGGACTGAAGAACAACCCTCTTTTGAGGACACCGTATGTAAAATCTTGTGTACAGGTAGACAGCAAGAAAGTTCACATGGGCAAGTCTACCACGTACTGTCTTGTAAGACTAAGCAGAACTCCATCGCCATTTTTCTTCGATTCTGTTATTGACATGCTCCTTGAACTTTCTCTGCCTGCCCCTGAAACTTCGGGGAGCGAAATGTCTTAATAGATTTCGCTCACGCGAACAGTACTGCTCTCCATGTTTCATAACTTACATTGGTGCTAGCCACTTTAAACAACCTAGAGTATTCTACCAGAGCAGCTCTTGCCAAACTCCAACACCTCTGGCGCCGGCGCTGTCAGTTTGGCTGCCGGGAACAGAGTGCACTCTGCGGCGGTGGGTTGTAAACTGACTTATGGATATGAAACCTACTGTCTATGTTTTGAAGGAGTACAATATTTTATGGCCAATATACTGAACTAAAACGATTGTTGCTCCTCCACCTACCCATCTCCAAAAGGTAGCACGTTCTGATTGGATCATCCATCAGCGAGAGAGCCTTTAACGTTAACCTTATAACCATGTTAAAACGGTTATTCCACAACTCAGCTCCTGAGCTGAACCATCCAAGCTAGCGCTCCCGTCAAAAGGACCAAACATGCACATGTATATAACGTCCAAAAACAGGTCACACACACTTGCACAGCGTGTTGTTTATAAGGCGTAGGAGGTAGCATTGCTCTGAAAATTCCGGCACCTACACGCGCCATGGGCAACCGGCATTCGGCGGGTGCTGGATCACAGTCGGCTGTTGCGTGACATTATTGGCTAATCAGAGCTCGCCGTGATGCGGATCCAGCAAGCAGTACGTATTCTGGCCAATCATGTGCGGCATGTGCTTCGTAGCCGTATCAGCGCTCACCAATGGGCAGCCATCTGGTTCGGCGGGGGATTCCGCCTTATACTGATAACATCCATCATCCGCCGGCTACTGATATCCGCGAAATTTGTCTCCGAAAAGAAGTGAGCGAATTCTCCTTTGGGAGGATGGATGCTGGCTGTCGTGGAGTGCAACACGGCATTGAAAACTGGGCCCTTAACGGATAAGCCGGTTTCCCGTCTGCACCACAGGTGATACAACCTCACAAAGGCTGCTCTGAACTCCGGATGGGAATGCCGCCTACCGGGAGTGGTACAGCCCCATAGGTATGGAAATTTGTGTACTACCTCGATGGGCTCATCAGTGAAAATGAGTATCAGGAAGGTCAGATTCCTGAAAGTGACCGCTGATTGCCCGAAATCTACTGAGACCCTCAACTCCACTAGATTCTGACCAGACAACGTTTCCGCAATATGCAGCGCCTTGTATAGAAGCCAGACGGCGCGAGAAGCCTTGGACCATGATCAGACAGTGTCCCTTCAATAAAGTTGCTTTAGGCCGGTGTACTTTCACACTCTCACACTCGCTTTTTCGGAATAAACCTGTTGTGTTCTTTATCAGTGAGTCTTTTTACGGCACTAGACACTGGAGCGGGAACAACAATCAGATTCAACAGATTGGCAACTTAGCAGCTGTAACAATGAGACTAGGATAGGAGCCCACCCAGTTTTGCAGCATGACTATACATTGCATGTGTGAATCGCATACCAAATTTTGAGACAGAATTAGATCAGTATTGTCTTCATTAAAATGGCATCAGATCCGAGAAGAGCTATCCGTCTGTGAGTGAATCCCTTGGGAGTATTTCGACTTTTCGGGCATTAGAGGCTGGGAGTGCATTTTCCACGATCACATCAGTGGCAAAGCTGAAGAGGAGGGGTGCAGCCTTACGGGACAGCTTTCGATATGAAACCAAGCCAATAGACCTTGACTCGCCTGCGGGGGTTGAGAGGGACACCTTTACTCTACTGATGATGCGATAGTGTCTGACGACCTGCAGGGTCAAAGGCAGTTCTCAAGCCAAGGAAGACCACCACTTTCGGTCACTAGCAACATTGTCGCTGTGCCAGAATTTGTCGGACGGTGAAAACCTATCTGTCTCCTCTGGATAGCCCAGGTTGTTTTTCACATACCTGCTTCTGTTTGTGTTCAATCAACCTTCGAAGGATGAAACCAGAGGGTGCCCTCAGTGCCACAGCTGCTTAGCTGCTGCCACAACGTTCGCGTACCCCTTCTGGAGATAAGAACGAGTGTCAATATACCGTGTTCTGCTTTATATAGCACCGACAAGGTTTTCCAGATTGGTAAACAGGGCTTCACCTTCTTTGAAGAGGGCTGGATACAGACTGTCCGGTCCTGGTGCCTTGTCACGTTTTAGTATGAATATTGGTATTTTGTTTTTCCTGACGGGCGATTAAGATTTACGTTCCATTCACTTGCACGCAGTGTGCTCTAGAATTTTTACGGAAAGCTAGCTTAGCTGTTTATCAGAATGTCCCACTCATATTCCCAGTCAGCGTCTTTGTGAGTGAATTAATCAACCACCTTCACCCATTCCTCCATTGAGCATTGCTTCCTTTTAGTCGGTCGTATTAATCATTATGAGGCATGTTTCTTTCCGGTAGCAAAGCGTTCTCCCTCTTGAGCCCTCAGTGTCCACCAAAGCTCTCGGTCTCTCCTCAGGCTCTTTATTACTTAGCGTTTGAAGGATTTGCATACATACTCTTTCCTACTAGCATGGATTTTCTGGCATCAATCAGGGCTAGTCACTTCGACGTTATCCACTGGGCACTTAATCGTACCAGAGAAGTCGGATAGATAGCTTTGAACGCCGCTTGCGTACCTCCTTTCACATTTTGCCATGCCTCATCCACAAGCTGGTTACCAGTACAATGTTCACCTGCTGTAAAGCCCAGTCGAGCTAGCTGTGGTTCATACTGTTGAGCTATGGTGGTTCTCCGAAGATTATGGATTGACATGGTTCTTGATAATTTGTGAAGTTCTGAAGAAGTGCGAAGCGTTGGGCGTTATCCGAATTAAGTTGTGAGCCCCAGAAGGAACGGCATTCTTGGATTTGTAGCTTTTTACCGGGATGCTTCGAGATGGCGTAGTGGTTAAAGCGCGAATCTGCTGATCTAAAGATCTGCAGTTAGAACCCGACCTCCGTATTTCGATTGCTCCTGTTTAGGCTTGGGCGAGCTGGCGGTATATCAGCCCTAGTGCTTCCTTCGAGTTGCCTGGTATCTGGGAACCACAAATGTGTTACAGCTGAACAATTGTTATATTATTTACCGGTTTCTGGTGAATGGTCCTACTATGTCCACGGTCGGTTTCAGCTTGGTGATCACCTGGTTACTCGACGAGTATTTATGTGAAAAGTTCGTACTTGCCAGAAACAGTCATGATCAGCACACAACTGGAGGAGTCGCTCCTCATTGTCTGTACAATGAGCATCGACTCCGAATCGGCTGCCCAGGTATGATTCCGAGGAGTTCTTATGACCAACTTGAGCATTCGTATCACCCTCAAGGATCACAATGTCGGTGCTTTTTGATTGATAAATGAGCCCACATAACTATCGATAAAGTATTCTCAGCGTCAGAACTGCAGTCCATGAAGCATATGCTGTCACCACACAGCTGGATACCCGGACGGCGCAAAGAGGACAGTTCAATGGGATACAGTCCAGCAAAGCGCTTACATTTCTGGGCTGAGTGCAACTCTCGCGCCGTATTTTCCTCGAATCGTCGCTTCTGGATCATCGGAAGAACTGAGTTTGCCTTGGGCGACTTAAGACATATATATATATATATATATATATATATATATATATCAGAGACAACATATATCGATCTTAAGGTAACATGAAGTCTGGGCAAGCACCGCCTGTTTGCCATATTAACATGGATTACGGACATTGAAATATTCTATGCAGAAATGGTTACGTAGACTTCGCAGGTTATTCGTTCACTGTTAATGTCTGGGTTGGAGGTGAACATCGGTGGACAAAGGACTTTGCGGTCAACTGGTTTTTAGGGCCGACCATTTCTAACCCGTCCTTCCCTGGGGGATAGCAGCATCGCTGCTTCCCTGAATATGGACGTGCTGGTCGCCTGGTAGAAACACTTTACCGCCTTCACACTAATCACAGAGGACAGTACGGCTCCACCCCCTAATCGCCCCGTAATACGATTGTCGTAGTATGGGGTCTCTCTGCTGTTGGTCTGACCACTTGCCGTTGGGCACCTTGTGGAACAAATTTTCGGCCGCTGTACCTCGCTGTATCATTGCAGCACTCCCACCCGACCACGAAGTCGTGGTGGCAGCTTCAGGTTTGGATCCTTGAGACACACGTCACATCTTCAATCACTTAAATCAGTTCTTTCAAATTTTGCCTCAATCTTTGACAGTTTACCGTATGATAACTCCCGTTTCTGGTGTTTTAGGAACTTGTACTCGTCGGTCCTCTAGTGTAAATGTATCGTTCCCGAAAGTTGACTGTATTTCAGCGGTGGCTCATTGTAGTTGGTGGCTTCGTTTGCTATTGTCTTGCTGACGGCTTCACTTATTCCGTGGGTGTTTTGTACTCTTGTTTTCTTGCTGCATTCAACTTGAGCAGTTCCTCCACCTCGGTTCTTCCCGGTTTACTTTACGCCGTTCCACAATTCACCGCAATATTTCTGTGTCCTTTGTTGGAGACCTATGGTTACTCCTCGGGAGCCAGTTGGGGTGCTATAATTTTGAGTGTCAGTTGTATTGGTAAGCTACATCTCTATCTCATGTAGAATGCTCCTTTTAGCTTCCGCCTATGCTCCAAACATACAGTTGCTGTATCTCACCTTCGGAGTTCTATCCAGCTTTGGATTGCAATTGACCTACTCGTCGGCAATTATGGCGGTCACTGAAACTTTCAAGGATGACCGGCTGTAAATTTTGCTTTCATTGTATCTCAGGGGTCTGTTCATTTGCAATGTGTATAGATGTTGCCCATCATTCTCTTCACAAGGCGTCGCTAAATAACTCTGGTATGACAATCCGTGTTCGACTTAACAAAGTTCTCCACAGGAGTTTTACATCAACCATTGATGATGAGATCGTAGACCCACTCTTTTCAATAGGCTCCCTAAAAACCACCTACCTTTGGACAAAACGATTAAGTGGTTACTGTTATTATGTCATCATATGGTCACGGACTGCACCCAGCTCCTGTCCGTAATGTATTTACTTAAGAGCATACCAAGTATTTCGTGTACGATAGGTGGCTATACCCTTCACACTAATCACAGAGAACAGTACGGCTCCACCCCCTAATCGCCCCGTAATACGATTGTCGTAGTATGGGGTCTCTCTGCTGTTGGTCTGACCACTTGCCGTTGGGCACCTTGTGGAACAAATTTTCGGCCGCTGTACCTCGCTGGATCATTGCAGCACTCCAACCCGACCACCAAGTCATGGTGGCAGCTTCAGGTTTGGATCCTTGAGACTCACATACGTCACATCTTCAATCACTTAAGTCAGTCCTTTCAAATTTCGCCTCAATCTTTGACAGTTTACCGTATGATAACTCCTGTTTCTGGTATTTTAGGAACTTGTACTCGTCGGTCCTCTAGTGTAAATGTATCGTTCCCGAAAGTTGACTGTATTTCAGCGGTGGCTCATTGTAGTTGGTGGCTTCGTTTGCTATTGTCTTGCTGACGGCTTCACTTATTCCGTGGGTGTTTTGTACTCTTGTTTTCTTGCTGCATTCAACTTGAGCAGTTCCTCCACCTCGGTTCTTCCCGGTTTACTTTACGCCGTTCCACAATTCACCGCAATATTTCTGTGTCCTTTGTTGGAGACCTATGGTTACTCCTCGGGAGCCAGTTGGGGTGCTATAATTTTGAGTGTCAGTTGTATTGGTAAGCTACATCTCTATCTCATGTAGAATGCTCCTTTTAGCTTCCGCCTATGCTCCAAACATACAGTTGCTGTATCTCACCTTCGGAGTTCTATCCAGCTTTGGATTGCAATTGACCTACTCGTCGGCAATTATGGCGGTCACTGAAACTTTCAAGGATGACCGGCTGTAAATTTTGCTTTCATTGTATCTCAGGGGTCTGTTCATTTGCAATGTGTATAGATGTTGCCCATCATTCTCTTCACAAGGCGTCGCTAAATAACTCTGGTATGACAATCCGTGTTCGACTTAACAAAGTTCTCCACAGGAGTTTTACATCAACCATTGATGATGAGATCGTAGACCCACTCTTTTCAATAGGCTCCCTAAAAACCACCTACCTTTGGACAAAACGATTAAGTGGTTACTGTTATTATGTCATCATATGGTCACGGACTGCACCCAGCTCCTGTCCGTAATGTATTTACTTAAGAGCATACCAAGTATTTCGTGTACGATAGGTGGCTATACTGTAATATCTCACTTGTAGGCAGTTTCACTGGAACTATAAAACCTGGCCGATAGGGACACCATGCCTTCGTGCGTAGCACCCTCACTTGTAGGCAGTTTCACTGGAACAATAAATCCTGCCTTCGTGCCCTATGCTTATCTTCTCGCCTTCCAGAAGACGACTTCACTCTGGTCCTTCGGGGTTTAGTTTTAAAGCAATTTGGTTGTGGATGTTTCATCACTGGCGGAGGTGACACCATCAGTACTCCTTTTGAACTGGTGTGTCAGTAAACACGCTACACTTCACAAAAACGCACTGATGATGTCACCTCGATCGTTGGTAAATAGTTGCAACCAAATTGCCTGCCTCAACGAACGAGCCATCATCTATGCTCCCTCAACCGCGGACATTCTCTTCAATATAGCAATGTGGTCTTATATTGATGAGTTTTGTAAGGCTACCATCAACCCCCAACAAATATCGCTTCAAATGTCATTATGGGGCAAAACAGAGACCAGGGTGTACAAACGGTGTACTGTGCCCTCTTGTGTTGTAACACCGTGCCTGACCAACTGCATTAAAAGGGTATTTTTACCTGTACGGCACATGAATTCTATGCCTCTTCTATGAGGATATGTGCCAAACATGAATGTTTGAGTGGTGTCTTGCATCTTTTTTTCTCTGCGAAAAGTGAACACAGTCTATTTGTCCAGGCGGTGTGTCCAGAGGAGATAGCTAATGCGATTCTTCGCCTCTGCAAACACCAGTCGAAGGTGTCGGCTACAAATGAGCGGGGTGATACTTTGACTAGCTCATTCTATAAGTCATCTTAACTCAGTAGACCTGAATGTAGGCAGAAAAGCCGAACACTACCAATTAACTTGCCCAGAAATGCAGATTATCCGAAACGCCATTATTCTGGGATGGTTAAACACGGTGTCTCACGATCTGGTGTGCGATCATTGTAATCGGGTTGATAACTAGCAGGAAAGATCAAACAACTGTTTCCCAAAGTGATCTCTCGGAACAGAAGTGGTTCAGCTCTAAAGCACACAGCTCAAGCAGACCAAAAGTCCACCAATGGTAGACAGTACAGAATCACACAGACCAACAAAATTTGCAAATAGTGTGCAAATGGGACCGTTTGTTTAAGTATCCGGAAGATCAAGGACTCCGGCTTGATCAGAGTTATTTTAAATACCCTCTATCTATCGGCTCTGGAACTTAGGAACGCGCGCTAACTACTGAGACCTTCTGACTGACGTTCAGTACTCAATAAATGTGCTATTCGAAAGACCCACCTAGTAGCTTACTCACTTGGCCCGACGAAACCAAGTGTCATGCGCGAAACTATACCCATTGATTATTTGCTAGACTTATGAAACGATAAACTGAATTATATTTTATCACGTCGATGCTGGCATCTCCTACACTTCTGTCATCCACGGAGGGCGAGTGTAATTCATCGGTATTTCGATTCTGTTGATTCACTGCTAGACCCTTCTAAGAACTGTAATTCTTCTGTTTGCTTGGATAGTGCTGCTTGGACTGTGTGGTCATTATAAAAGGGTTTGGATAGGTGTTTAAGCTGACACATCTGATCTTCCGGTTCATCAATGTTTGTTTCCTTAGTTTCGGACTGGCTCTTGGGTTAACGATGTGTGGCTCAGGAGTGGGCTCTTTCCTCTTCAACCCTTTTGTTGCATGGCTGCTAGAGTCCTGGACGTGGCGTGAAGTACTCTTTATCGAGGGTGCCATCCTTCTTAACTCCATGGTTTCTGCATCATGTTTTCATCATCTGGATGCAATCCGGTTTCCGATCGCCGTTAAAAATTCATCGTTGGACCTATATCAAACAGCGGGCGGAAAACTGTTGACACAGCCGTCCGAGATGGTTGGAGAAGCGCATGTGAGTTTCAGCTTCACTTCTGGGATCTTTTACAGAGTCTGTGTTTATTTCCTCCCTGTATCATCTTGTAAGGTGAGATGGCTCAAGTGGTTAGAGCGTGACTTCACTGACTGGAAGGTCTGTGGTTCAAACCCGACCTATGCTTCTCGACTCCCACTGTCCAGGCTTGGGCAGCCCTCTTGCGTGTCATCGTATTTAATGCGGTCGGTGACGTGACACATTGTCTTATTGTGCTCTTGGGATCTACAATTCATAATGAATCTCTTTACAGCGGATGTTAACATTCCAGGTGAGGATTTAGTACACGAGAAAAGTTAACGCTATATAGTCTTGTTGCTCGGTACACACTTATCATATCTAACCTTATGGCGTCGGGAGTCGAGAAACAGTGTAACTTGGCACTTCATCCGTAGTTTTTATCACGAAGTTGGAACGCATTCATCATCATCAGAGACACCAACAATAATCCATCTTCGTCATCATCATCATCATCAAAGACAGCACTGATGATGCTTCACTGCCGTACACCCACAAGGTCCGTCTAATTATATCTAAAGCCCTTGGGTCAGAAGAAGAGAAAAATAGTGGGTCGAGTGGGGGACCCAGTGCTGGCCTCTATTAAGCATTCTGAGGTGCCTCTCCATCCAAGCGCTCAATCAAACAATCTGGAAAGAAACCAACAAAATGGACGCCATTAACATCGATCGGTCGCCATTTCTTTCAATGTCTCCAACGTTTAGGCATGCGCAACACATTGATGAGGCATTGCAGTTGATGGTTCCAGATGCCTTCCGCGATTGAAGTACCTGATGTACAACCAAATACCCGTTTTATAATTACCTTGTTACTAATCCGTTGACGCCATCTGGCACCCGTAACGCTTCTGAGTTATCGCTGGTCAAAAACCTAGAGACACTCCCATCATCTATCCTCAGAGGTCATGTTTCTCAACCATAAAACGATACAGTTCTTACTGTAGCCTGGAACGTGTGACCTTTGAGACTCAATAATGTGCCTTTTTTACACTACAGGTGACGCAAATTAGCAAACATGATTCCGGCCTTCGAGATTCGTGCACTGACTTCGTCAGACACTTCCGTCAGAGCTAATGCAACTCCCAGAGTGTGAAAAATTCTCCACAAACTCCAGTGATCTTCCTTGAGTTTTAAGGGTTATGTTCAGAGGCTGTACGCTATGAAGCATGCCTTTACACTTTAAAGATGCGAGGCGCATGTCGAAAGATGGTATGATGGTGGTCAGTCTATTCAACAGAGCTTGTGCTGTGCCTTCATCTTGAAAGCTTAGAGCGGTTTCGTCTGCGTACTCCAGATCGATAGGGTCATCACAATCTGAACACCCGGGTTTTATGATCTTTCAGCGCACTCCTCATTATTTCATTGACAGCGAAGTTGAACAAGAATGAAGAGAGTGTACATCAATTTACATAGGGAAACTTTTAGAAAGTTCACCATACACTCACACGCCCAGAAATGTGAATGTAGGGATGGGATTAGGTTCACAAACTTCTGGAGAATAAACTGTTGAACGAGTGTAGTTAATATCACTGACCGATCAACAGATTCGAACGCACGAGTCAAGGAATACCAAGATTTTGGGTTGTCTGTGCATATGGCGTTTCTCTTACACCTGACGGAGTGTGAAGATGTGGTCGACGCAGCCTTTATCCGGTCGAGGATTTGCGTGCCGCCGTAGGACAACGCAAAATCAGTGGCGCCAGAATCCTTGTTTCAAAATGAGTCGAACTATTACATCTTTGGTTATCACAGTTACTTTGAGTACCTTTTTTGACCCCAATAAACTTGAATGGTCTCTTTTCCCCAGGTAGACAAAAATAGGCTGGACAGACAGTGACTGAGGAATTGACTCTCATCCTTAAACAGAGCAGGTCGTTAGGGCCAGGAGGACGATGTCGCCTGAGTAGAGATGTACACTCGGACACTACTGAAACTGAGAGGGTTTCATTTTCACAGTCCACCTTTCTGTTGAAGGTCAGCAGTCTGGATTGGAGGTAGCAGGTGACCAACCTAATTGTTGTTCGACATACTGTACCCAGTGGTCCAAATGTTTTCCTTTGCTGGATATCAGAGTCATTTCGTTCCCTGATAGTTTCACTGCCAATAGGCTTCCGAGACCAACCTCAATTCATTTTACGTTAGTAGTTGTGCAAGAATGGCTTGAAGCTTGTGTATATGTATTTTCCCTCCAACAGCGTCAAATACGTAATCAGAAGTGTCATTTCAATCATCTGCTACTAACGCACACTAGTGTATTAGGTAAACGAGCACTGTGAGTTTAGCAAGGGAAACTGGCCAATGCACCTTTCCTTTGACGGCACCCAAGTAAAGCCGCTAATCTAGGTCACCACTGTGATGTAGCGGTTACGGATGAAACTTAACGTGATCTACAGCAAATGTACCCCTGCTAAGAAAAGCCTATCGTCACAAAGACACCAACTTATTCGCCTGAATCAACTCGGTTTAGGTAGAAGATGACGGACTTCAAAGGTGTTGGAGTATAACATGGGAAGCAGTAGGATAACAATGAGCTAGCGTAGAGTTGACGAAGGACAAGGGTGCCATAACGACTGAAACCTTTGAGCTACAACGCAGCGCACATATTTTTACCAGAAGACATGAATTATGTAGCCTGGATGTTTTCTGCTTTATTCCACTAAACCTCATCCGAATAGCGGTCGTTATAACCATTTGTGTCCATGTTAGGTGAAGTGCCGGATCGATCCGATGAAGGAGCATGAGAAATGCTCATAACAGAGATTATGCCTCTTCTAGAGAGGTGTAGCACCCCGTATGAGAAAAGAACTCCGTCCATGTGAATGAAAATGAAAAAAAAACGATTGATGTCATTTGATTGCTCATCACTGCCTTCCATTCTACGACAAAATAAACTTGCGTGGGAAACGGAACAAGAGTATCCACCCACAGCCTCTAGTGACCTACATTAAGGTCGTTCCCAACTACTCAGTGTACCAAAACCAAGGATTTCAATAAGAAGTAAAACAAGTCACTAATCGTGTTACCAATGCGCTAACATTCGTAAGCTTACTGGTTCTCAATACGTCTTTCCGATAAGGACTCGGTCCACTCTGAAGGGTTTTTGTTTAGTGTATCAGTAAGTATTCTAGCCATAGAACTGTTTTACTGATGCGGTTAACATGTTGGGTCGAAAAGCTCCCTCATTTCCGAGCTATCACCATCTTTCAGAGGGCGATTCTACGAAATGCACACTTGCTTTTCGGTTCAAATGTGTCCTTAAATACACTCGGCCGTTTGGTCAGTTTAACCACCACAGCTATGGTGAGAAATCCTGGCTTCTAAAGCGATACACTTTTCTCATGCCAATGCTAATACGCATATTAAGCCGTTTGTTACGACAGTCGTAAGGAGATGAAAAAATAAGATAACAGTTTATCTGTCACACCCTTCCGGTGCCTAGCTGCCATTCCATCTGATGTAAGCACGAGGGCTGGCATGCTGTCAGGTTGCCCAAGCCTAGACAGGGTAAGTCGAACTAAGACCCTCCAGTCAGTAAATTCGCGCTCCAATCATTGAGCCATCTCACCCCGTTGGAAACGACTCCAGCAGATACGAATTAAAATGGTTTCAAGTACTTCTTACTTAACCGCCCTAGTCTCCTTATCTTCATTTTGAACACTTAAACCCAATAAATCCGCGGTGGATGTGTGTGGTATCTCAATATTATTACTATTATTATTATTATTATTATTTACTCGTGGCTTTGTGACTTCGGGGATCCACAGCCTTGCGAATCGCTCAAACCTGACATCTTTCCTGAAAGCTTAGGGTGGATGGGCAACCATGCGGACGGTCGTGACCGCGAATGGATTTGTCGTGCTTCCTGAATTAAACTCTTACTGCTATTCGTGGAGTTGGGTCTTATTTACTGTGAAAGACGTAGTTAGTCACGCAGTTTTCATGCCAAGCCACCATGTGACGCTGGATGGTGGTTACAAAAATGGTCATTCCCACAGAACGATGTGACCCCTTCGTGTTTGTTGCAGTCCCTTGTCTGTCGGTAGTAGCCAGTTTTCCCAGCCATTGATTTCGACAAAAATGCTTGCTCAGATATCTATAATTACAAAAGAATACATGCATTAGTATGCACGATAACTGGAATGTATCGACTGGTGATTCTTGTCGAGTGGATGATTGGCATCAGATTAGCACCCACAGGCTCACAGTGTGAACAATATGTCCTCCGGGAAAACATTTCCGGTTAAATCGGGTTACAAACCAACGCAGGATTTGAGTGTGCGCTGGACGTCCTGCTGTCGTTTCCTGATGGGAAAGTGTGAGCCATAAATCGTCCTGAACTTCAGTATAAATCGAGTAACCTGGGGTTCATAAGTCTACAGTATACGCCATACTTTTAGGATAAAACTCGCTGCATGGGAGTTCTGTGGGGACGAAGTTTTTCAGGTGCAAAATGATAATAGCCCGATTTCACCAATTATTGATGATTATCCAGCCAGACATGATAGGGAAACTTGCACGTAGAACCACACGTAATGTAAACTCTAAACTAGAATGTGTCACATCATGTCTTTACGGTTTACTCATAATGAATTCCCTCGAATAATCGTCTACGACTGCATATGTGCACGCAAACCAAGCTTGAAAAATATGGTGTAAAGTTCAGAATTTTGCTAAACGATCAAATGAAATAGTGTTTTCCCTTATCTTACGTCTTTCGGAAACTAATAGCGACTGATAATAATGGGGGGATGCGCAATTACTTATTGGTATTTCGATAGATAGAGGCGCTTGTCCGATAGGCTGTAGAACTTAACGACGTATCACTCGTCCAAATCCTGCTGTTGCGCGAATTAACCTCGCCTGGAACCACTCCCTGCTCTCTCTAGTCCGCCAAAGAGGAAGCGTAAAGCGTGGAAGAGGATTTATGCAATCTTTTGCCTAGAAAGAATAACAGTCCCTATGTCGATTTCTGCAAAAATTACAAGCAAGCAGATAAAGATTGTCACAATTTCGAGCCTGTAACACAACATATCGAAATGTTGGTAGTCCGGCTGCGCTAATTGGTTGTAGATCAACAGCCACCTGATGTACGACCAAGTCTGCAACAATTTTGCGAAAAGTTCTGTTTAATCATGTTCCCTTAGACAGCAAAAACCATTCCGTTATACCACATAGAGGTTTTTATATGAATTTGTTACTGTCTCAGAGTCTGACTTATAAACAACTTTCAAGCTGTTTTCATGAGGTTGCTCATAATATCGGTATTATAGTTCTCCAGTGAAGTTCTCATGACGTATCACAATAATGAGGCATTTTCGCTAGTTTTCTAGTCGGATCCCCTGGTTCGTCTTCCCTACATCTTGAATGGTACAAAGTCTACTCTTATTCCCGTAACACTGTTCGAAAAAACTGTCCAGTTTAATCGTTTAGGAAATTCACAAGCTGATACATAGCATGTAGACAAAACTACTTCGTCTGTGGTCCTGTCAGAAACCCGACCGAATAGCAGCTCCAGCTCTATTTTAGTTGTTCCTAGCAGTAAGATGAAGTATGGGTGCTTGAGGTACTGGTTGCTGAGTACTAATGGTCTTCTAAAATAAATCTTTCGTATTGCTTTGATGAGGAAAGCGAACTATTCTGTCCCATGCGTTTTCGCTTAGGGATCCTCTGATGTGGATTGGCTTCGCTTCAGAAGTGACTCGACCAAAAAGTGTACCGACAGTCTGATGTACTTTGTGGAGTTGATAACTTTCGTCTTCCCGATTAGCAATTTTATCAGGGGACGGAAAAAGCATAACACTGACGGAGAGTCCAATCGCCTTGATGCGTTTGCCTTCAGACTAACACCACCATATAGCTTTCATGGTTTATCTGTGAGTAAACCTGAACTACTTGACGTCAAAGGGCTCGTTGTGTCCCATGTGTGACCTTTCCTCCTTTTCCCAGTTAAACAAAGCCAAAACAGCCTGAACCAATATTTCTTGGTACATAATTTATGACCGGTAAACTGAAATAAACTAGAAGATAACACAGCCCGCATCTCTTGGTGACAATAATACTACTTGGGAACAAAATTGGTGAAAACTTCTTTCTCGGGTCCGTGTCCTTCCCACTACGGTAACGCACATACTGAGCAAATAAAAGGGCCTTAAAATATGCCTTAATTAACACTTGTCCCTCAATCTCAACTGTTTATCTTCTGGTTTCCCCCAGGCTACCGAAGAGTTTCCGAGAGCAATTCAAATACCGGATGAAGTGACTACTGGTAAGAATTCATCTTGATCGAAAGTTTACACAGCTAGTGTATTGTCGTTGATCGTTTTGAAAGTGGTGCAGTATTCAATCAGAAAAACCTTACATGGGACGACCCTATGACGTCGCAAATCTTACAAGCTAGTTTATGCTCTTCACGTTTTCTAAGACTAGTTCGCTATCGGAATAACCGTATCGAATAGTGCAGGTTTTAAACTGCGATATCTGGAACTTTCCTCTAATGGAATTAACTTGCAAGCCAGTCAAGAATCCTCGCTAACCGCTATTTCGTCGTTTCGTTTGCCATGATGTTTCACGCCCCGTTCAGTTACCGAACAAGTAGAGTGACAACAGACTGTTCTGCCTTTTACCGCTCTCCTCACTTTCTTATTTGGTCTGAGCGAACCTGCTGTGGTAGTAGGCATTCAGCAATGTCTTCGAGGGGCTTCAGCTGTGATCGGACGTTTTCGTTTGCGTAGTTTTTATGTGATGGTTTTGGAACACTGAAGTATTCCCTATTAAGCAGATCACGTTTATCAGAAGAAAAGTCGGACGGGTGGAGTCAAGGAGTGCTGTGTTGTTTCTGTCGGGATTCACAAAATCCCATTGACCATATAGCTGACAATGCTTTTCTTCCTTCGGGGTTCCTCAAGGAATCATTATTTCCGCATCATCATATTCCCTCCCTCCGTCGCTCACGTGTTTCGAGTTGGCAACCGTACTGCAGTAGGTTGCTCATCTTTCTATCTACAAACTTTCTTCAAGTTTGGAAAGATTAATAATCCCTTCAGGTTCGTGCACCACTTTCGGTACTAAGGTCGTCCTCAGTGCCTCCCATCAATCTTGTGGTCGTGTTCTTTCTGATCAAGTGGAAATTTTATGCTAAGTTCTGACAATGTTGCGGCCTTTAATGCAAATTTGATTTCATTCTCTTTGCACTATGGTAAACGGTTGTTAACTTCGATACTTTTGAATTTCTGAATATTCTGGCCTTCACCTTTCTATTTGCTGAGCAGGGCCCTCAACCCTTCGGGACAATGTGTAAATGGACCATGAGTACATTTGAGAACGTTTCATTCTGTTACTTTGTTTACCATATTACTCCAAGAAATGGCTGTCTTTCGGCGGAAACCGAAGGCGCTGAATAGGTACAGTCCAGTTCAACGAAAGTAGTAACATAGTGTGCTTCCGTTGCTTTCTGTCATCAGAATTCAATAGTCCTTCAACTTCGTTTCGGCGAATTTGGTCGTGCATACGATATGCGATATGCGTTCCTTCGCGTTGTCGCTTTCGGGCCCTTGGATGTTCCACTACTCCAGTGTTAGCTGCAGACTCAATCGAGGATATCCGAGTGGACATGGTAAACGAGCGATCCGGATGCGCTGATTTCCTGACTGCCTTCAAGGTCAGTCTCAAACAGTTGGGTTCCCGGAATCTGTGGAAAAATCCCACCTACGTCGTCTACATTTTCGCCAATGGCTTGGCTGGAGCAGCGATTGTGATACCCTGGACATTCATTTACGACCATGGTATCTTGTCGCTTAGTGATGAAAACGGGAACTTGGACGAAACAAATATGTCAAATGTGTCGTTGTTACCTTCCCTTATTGGCATGGGGTCGTTGATCGGTACGTGCTTGGGTTGACTTGTAATGCTGTGTGTTCTACTTTTAATGCATCTGAACACTACCCTTCGGTTGTCTATGTCCTTCGTTGAAGTTGACTCTAATTCCGACAAATTTGAAGAGTCTGGCATGTGTGTCATTCACTTTCAATTATATTGCTCCTTTTTGAATCTAGGTAGATTGTGCAAGTCAGATAAACACTCAGCGTCGCTGTAAGCACTTTTGGGATATATTATCGTCTTCTAGCGTAGCAATAGTTCCTTAACTGCGTGCGGATTAAAACTGATCAAACCTCAAATACTTTGGTGCCTTTGTCCACTTTTGTAATCGTGTTTAGGCTCCTTGATGGCTAAAAAACTGCGTACAAACAAATTATGATTTTTTTAGTGAATATTTCCTCTCATAAGTGTAATCAATCTATGCCGAAAAGCCGAGAAGCATTGTACAGTTGTTTTATCCTTTTCAGGAATTACCAGTAGTTCACATTTCCAAAAAAATCTGAACATTCTGTTAGTAGCTCAAAGGAAGAATATTTTACAGCATAAGCGAAACTTCCATCTGAAGAGTCGTCACTCGAAAAACCACTTAATCGGTGACCACAGGATTCGGATTCTATGACTGGAGAACGAATGGCGCTCTATTCTATCCAAGTGCGAGTTAACCACACTGCTGATCAGCCGCTCATAACCGAACGGTTTAGTGTTAGAACGACTACCCAGGCGGTTACGAGTTAACAGGTCCTTTGAGTTTCGAGAGATTTCTGGTGTTGATGATTCCCATTAAGGATGGAGCAGGTGTGCCCAACTCGGATCTTTAGCTAGATTGTATTCACTTACTTAACGTAATCGCCTTCGAAAATCCCCAAATTTCCTCACACTACCTGCAAATTGCTGTCTTCCGGCTATACACAAACGTCTAGTGGCTGCGGAACAATTATCCATTAGTACCATTATTATCAGTTAGCGTTATTACTACCCCCCCCCCTTCGAGCAAGAAAACGCCGGATTAGGCCACTCTCCCCCCATCACATGTTCACAAATGTTCTTGTTTTCATTGTTATTTTTATCGTTCCAACTAAACTGAAGGCTCCAGACATCCACCGGTTTTGCAAACTTATGTAGTTGAGGTATATACTATTTCATTAACACGAAGAGCCCACACAGTAATCATGAGTTCCTGCGACTTGGGTCACCGTGAATGCGCACTGTTTGTATGTACTGTTGGTAGTGTGAAGAAATTTATGATTTTTGTGGAGATTTCGTCCTGTAAGTGAAGCCAATCTATAGGTAGCTCGGTGGAAGAATAAAATTCATCCGATGAGTGAAACCTTTATCTGAGAAGCCGTTGCTCGAGAAGCCAGTCAACTCGTGTGACCGCGCGATGTGGATCTCGTGATTGAAGGATGAGCGGCGCTATATCCTGTCTAAGTGCGAGTTGATCACACTGCTGATCAGCCGAGCGGTTAAGTGTTCAAACTACTAGCCAGGAGGTCGCGGGTTCGTGAGATGATGAATCCCAATAAGGGTGAAACAGCTGTACAGTGCTTCTCGGCTTTTCAGCATGGTGTGTATGCACTGTTTAACCATACTCGAACAGGAATAACAAATGAACATAACTATCTAAAGAGTTTGTAGGTAATTTGTTTTGCCTTTAGGGGGAAAATACAGCATAGGCTTTCCAATAGTACGATGACTAGCCTAATTTCCCACGCAATGTCGGACTCATAAATTTCAAGCTACTATAAATCACCACCTTAGTTTACTTCACCAAATTTAGACGTGATTGGTTTATGGATGCTCTATGCGAATTTTGTTTTCCTTTGGTTGGTTCGCTAGGCTGATTGACTAGTCTTTTTTGCACGTCGCTTCGAATGTAATTGTGAAATCCAACCTTACCTGGCGCACGTCACCGAGACAGAAAGCATAAACATCGAAGGCGTTCATTCGGGGATTCGAGCCGTGGTCGTAGAAGCGGACTCATCTTTGACATCGGAATTAGCTCTGCTGGGCCAAAGCAATTGATCCACTGAACTAGAGGGGGGCTCCTTGACCGCACAATACTCTTATCTGCAAAACAAAACCTCAAAACCTTTTCGAGTGGAACAAAACTTTTTACGCCAAACTGTTGCATTTTGTTGCATTGTTACAAACCAAAAACCACCCTAATATACGTTCATATTTACGCAGCTCACCAAATTTCACTGTCCACTGAAGTAATCGTACCTCTGGCGGAAAAATTCTGGTAGAATGCGTTCCTAGCATCACTGCGACTCCGAAATTCCTAGATGCGGTTCAAAAGTTTGGACTGTCGGAATGATTTCATTAACCCTATGAATGATGAGTTGCTTCAAGAAAATATGAGTAAATGTCTGGGATATCGTGCCAGCTGATACATAAAGCGGCTTTTGTGCGGCACTTTTACTTGAGGAATGTCATAAAGAAGGGCTTTAATAAACTCTCCCCTTATCACCGATGTGGTCTAAAAACGAGTGTGTTCCGGTAATTGCTTCCAATTTAGCATTCAAGTGGATAATGTTGATGGGAACTCGGACACTACGTCCACCTGATAGAATATACGTACAATTGAGATATTTTCTTTTCAAGACGGCTGGAAATGTCAGGCAGAAAAACTTAGCGACTCAAGATTGTATTACCGTTATGGGGTAAAATCAATGCTGGGGTCGTATTACTTTACGGCAAGTGCTACCGCATAACTCTATTCATTCGGTTATTCGAATAAACAAAGCTGCTTTTTTGGCGCTAATTGTAATTATGATGATAATTATAAGGATGAGTAAACCCTTGGACCATCCACTGCATGTTTCTCTCTTCTTAAAACTCAACACGTAGGAGCAATCCCCGACCCTCTCTCCCTCCCGAACGCCAAGTTACACACAAATTAGGCTATTTACCCACTGGTTAACTGAGACAGTATTAAAGAGACTCGACTCAGTCTTCCATTCATAGTGCTACTCAAGTGAATGTGCTGGGCAAAAGCCCCCTCATTTTTCGGTTGGTACGATATCCCAGGTACCGAAGTGCGTTATAAGCCAAAGATTCAGTCGAATCCCTCGTTATCACTAGATTAGCCTGCAACTACGCTTCCAACCCCGAAAGAGCTTCCTGTTCTTATGATTGACTTATCTTGTAAAACCGACGCAACTTCGATATTCTACTTGGGGTCCAGTTTATCATCTCGTTGGTCTATTATATTAATACTTTATTGTAGGAATCATAGTCTCCGAGTCCATCAGTTCCTGAAGCAAGTGGTCTGACACTGGTTCGACTCAAATTACCACGATCGGGAAAGGCGACGACACGCGCAAAAGCACCAATATATTGCGTAACTACCATGCCCTAGTCGGTCCTAACAGCTTAATTTATCCACTCAGTTACCATCCATGGGCACCCCCTAAAGTAACATTCGTCGTAAATAGATATATGAAGGATCGATCGCATAGACAAAGTATACTAACAATCGTTTCGAAGTCAACACCTCGTAGCCTTTTTTGGGAGGGGAGGGGTTATGATCTCCATATCCATTGGCTGCTGTGTCCAGATATTCTTAGCTCTGGTTCGCTTACTGGCTGTTGGTCGGTCCGCCGAGCTCAGCAGTTAGCTTGCAAACATCTCGTCATCAGTGCGCATCATTCACACTCCCCTTCTTAATCGATCTTGTCGAAAGATCTCGTGTCCTAGAAATTAAAATCATTCCTTGCTACTACACGTTCTTTCTATTGAAAGTTCATATGAAACACTCAACTTTGTGTTGTAAGCGCTCGTAAACCGGTTTTTCAACGAGATGTTAATGAGATCCATCCGTCTTATACTTATGTTTCACCCCGCGGTTTATATCCCAGGACAAATTGCCTTTGGCTTGATCACCTCACAGCTCGGTCAACTGAGTGCTCCTCTGTGTTCTTGTTGGCTAACTCAAACGAACAACCTCAGTGAACAACCACTGTCCATTTTGCCGGAAAGAAAAAACCGTTTCCTCGGATTTTTACGCCGCATGTGGTCTGACAAATCTTCGTGTCACCTCCTTCTGTTCATGGTAGTCCTCTTATGGAGTAGCCTGTCCACATTGTTGATCAGCTTGCTGCCCTTATCCATGCTGGCCGGCCATATATCCACCAATGTTTCATTCTTCTCCCTTCCTATTGGGCGAGCTATGGCGGCAGCCTGTCTACTGGTCGGTATCTCATACGGTGGCTTTTACGTCCTATATCCACAAATTTTAATTGATACATTGGGTGAAAATCTGTGGCCGGCCGGTTTGGGCGTGTTTCTGTTCGTCAATGGAGCGATGAATCTTATTGGTACCACAATTGGAGGTAAGTGTGCGTCGATTTCTGTTATCATGTCCCCACCCTGCTCACTCCTCGCTAAATACTGATGAACTATGAATCTGAGCCAGTGATGTGTGCGCTGATGCGCCAGCTGAAAACCCGTGGCTGGGCTTGGAATCAGGGTGATACCTAATACGTGAAGAAATGTTCTGGCTGCAATAAAAGCTGTCATACTAGTGTCCTTCACTGAGACCCCCGTAGCGTGCAGTAGCCAACCGAACCCGCACTTTAATGCTGGCCTCAGGATGGGTCAATGAGTCACTGGCATCTAAAATAAGGGCACTAGTTGGGGGACGCAATATGTTCGACCCTATGCACAGTCCATAGCATGACTGACACGGACACCACAACTCCGTTTCTGTGCGGTAGGTAAACTAGTCTAGTAGGTATTATTCGTCTTTAACGACTGTAACTAGATGCAGTTGCACTGAATGCCACGTCATATTCAAAGGCATTCAGCCTAGCCTTATAGAGTTTTGCACGGTTTTCGTAAGAGGTGCGTTACCCTCAGTACTTGAATCTCTACCAACAGCGCTTCGAAGTAGCTCACGCTGGAACCCAGGACATCGGAAGGAATAGGAAAGCCATCGCTGTTTATCTTTCCTGCAAAGGAGTGCCAACAAGAAAGAACGAAGTCAATAACTCCACTGACTATGAAAATACCAAGAGCGTTTTAGGTGTTAAACTACTCAGCTGCGATTAGTAGTTCGCGTACCCTCTTATATCTTGAAGGCTGAATGATCGTGGTTCGCCATCGAGGCTACGCGATATTTCGGACACCTTGTCTTGCGGTTTTTAAGTCAATTTGTGTTTTATGTTCCATCAAGTAATGCGTCCTACGTATCGAAATCCATATTCGATCGACGGCCTTTTAACACTACCCATTAAAAAATTGCTGCCTATTTGGCAAGCACACATGAATGACGCTTTGGTTTACATGAACGTCGACACACCCAGTACATCAGCATGCGGTTGTGGCCATCAGCTAGTCACTTCTGCGTGTTGTAGTAAACACAACTTATTAGTCATAAACCAGGAAAACAGGTTTCGTTATTTCAATTAACCTGATCTTTCTTTGCTTCATATCAATTTCAACTAACTAATTTCGCAGATTAGATTGGTGGATTGACACCCTCCCCCCATACCGTACAGTACCCCACTGGTCAACCTACTTGAAAACCTAGTTTCTCTTTTCTCCCTTTACGTTAGGTCGTCTGTTCGACACTTACAACTCCTACAAACCCGCTTTCCTGCTTGCCAGTTTGATTCTGTTTGTCAGTCTAACGATTGTCGTCGTGCAGCAAACCGTTCATTTCTTCCTAAAGCGACGACTCTGTTCATTAGAAACAGTTGCTCAGCAACCGCCTCACTAGCTTCGATGCCAAAATTCTTACTTTTGATGCTTGTTTTATTCCATTGATTTATGTATGGCAACATTTTCTATGCGAAGTGCCCAAGAATTTCACAATTTATTCTTTCGTTTACGGTTCTATTTCGAAAAATTTGCGTAGAGTTATAATGATCATCTACAGCGTTTTGCTTTAGTTACTGGGAGGGACAAGCCAAGTCTGACACCAAAATGCTGGTCACTTAAATAATTCCCCACATTTTGTGCACAGCGGTTCCTCCCATAGGCATTTTCCTTCAGACTTTCTGTTCAGTGCAATCATTTGAATATAAAAATTGAAATATTCATCCGGGATTCAGTTGAGTCTCTCGTTCACACCAGCCTAGTTTGCGAGTTAGTATTTTCCAATTGCACACAATTTGGGTTCAACTATAGCATAGAGTTGACGAAAATTGGAGAATTTGCCTGCCTGTTGTGCTCCAAGAAGGGCGAAACAGATCGTATGCTGTCGAGAAACTTTCTATTAACCCTACAACCACTGTGTTACGTGGAGAATATCACAATCGATAGATTCACTTGAGTCTTCTGTTAACACCAACTTAATCTGCAGATGATTAGTTCTCGAGCTTGGCAGTTGGATTGCAAATATTTCACCAGAGCATTCCATATTCATTCCTGATATTTTGAAGTAGAGAATGAACTTGACATCCTACTTGGGACCGAACTGCCTGTTTTCCTTCTCATAAACTTAATATTTGAGGCTGGTTCTGTGAAACTTCTGTGGTCCGCGAACCAGTCTTCTGCCCTTGTTACCCGCTGTCTCATCTACCCGTTTGATGAGTCGTCCTCGAATTCCCGTTCGGGTAAGAATAACTTAACTATATTTATCATAAAGACGGAAATTACTTAATTATCAGACCGGCAATGAGGTTAACTCATGCTTCGGTATGGTCATGCAAGACCTGTCAACCATCCAATTTTTGTACAACGGACTATGTATACCTAGTGTCTTACGACTCCGGACTGTATTCAGAGATAGGATAATCCAACCCAAATATATTAGCGCAGTTCAAATTTGCGACCACATTCGCCTCACTGTTACATAGCGTAACTTTATCTAGCCACTGTCCTTTCAATGTCTTCCCAGTCATCTGAGTAGCAGATCCTGAGCCAGTTTTCTTGATGCAACACACCCAGCTCCATTAAAGGGGCTAGTGAGTTTAATTTCTATCCAAAAAAGCACAAGACCATGATCATTGTATAGCCTGTTTGCATTTCCCATTTTAAGGAAGGAACGCCGGTTTCGGTGCAGTTAGAACCTTAGAACCTTTTGGAGGAGGTCGAATCTCTGTGCGCTTTCTTGTCACTGATTATTTCGAAAGATCGCCCAATGTAACTTCGTTTATCTTGGGATAATCAAACGCCGCTTGATTCAAGGTGGTGATATCACTCAACCGATGATTGGTCTGTAACGACTGTCTGGGGCGTACACGGCCTATGCATGAGCTTTCAGTAAACACATGAAAAGTTATGGCTTCAGTATTTCCCGGTGGCGTCTTAGTTCTGCGGTTCTTTACATGCGACAGATTTACACTCATTTGAGCAATGTACCTCCCTGTGATGCAGAATCTTTACAAGCAAACGAAAATTTATCACTTATGTTTAGAACGTTCGCGCAGATGTCCACTCATATGGGTCATGGACACAGCCAGGGCAAGTACTGCATCATCGCTCTATCATCTATCATAGGCTATCTATACGTTACTCAAACGCAGACGTGTTCGTCTACCGTACTCCGATATGGTCGTGGCGACACATCTGTCTGAGATGTCAAATCACTGCGGTTGATGACACGCCTACAATACCAATGGCTCTAATTAGATGCGCGAAATCATCCTGTTCTTCTCGTTCCTTGGCATAGTCACTCTGAATTTGTACTGAAATTGGTGGTACCCGATGTATAAGGAACATGGCATCTGGCCGAAAAGCAGTACGTTTCAATAGCGGTGAATGGTTTGGCCGAGGGTTGCCAAATTCCAACGAAACCACCCCTTGTGTGTATCGAGGACGTACAGTATTTAACTGAGTTGCAACTTTTAGTGTAGTGCGTTCATATCGAAAAAATCGTCCAGTGGTATCACCCTTGCGGTGCCTAGCTACCATGCACCCCGAAGGAGGCACGGGGACTGGGATACTTCCAGGTGCCCAAGTCTAGACAGGGGAAGTCGAGATGCAGAGGTCAGGTTTGAACCATAAACCTTCCGGTCAGTAAATTCACGCTCTAACCACTGAGCCATCCCGCGTTCATATCGACGAAGTGGGAGTCAGAATGATCAATCTTGTGTTACGACCACCTTGCGCTCCTCATTGCGACAGAACACATTCTAGCAGTACATACCCATCCTGCCGTTATGTGTTGTACTTGGATTCTATTTAATTTCTTTATTTAGTGTCCGGAAATATGTGTAATGGATGGAAGCATCTTATCAAATTACACCGTTTTGAATTTAGGCCTTCCTCATTAAAAGCCACATAGTGCTCAATTGTTTACTGGGACCCTAGACAAGTTAGTGCGAGATCTCAAACCCTTGTCTTGAAATTTTCACGTTTCCTACTAGATGGGCGCACTGTCTAAAGCTAGTGTGCGGCTTCTTACCATTAAGAAGTCAGTCAAATAAATGATAAACACACTGGAGAAACTGGCCTCTGTAATTCCTGAGAATGCGAAACGAATGTGCAAATACCCGTAAGCCACGCAGCGGGTGCCAATTTAGCCTGCATTTAGTCGGAATGCCCCTATCGCGATGGCGGGACGCCTTTGCCGAGATAATTGCTAAATAGGTTTTAAACAGGTTTGGCGTATCAACACAACCTGTTGACAGCCCGTGATATGTATCAGATGAGAAAGGTCTTGCTGAGGTTGACAGATTTGTCCGGACTTTTGCGAAGACTTCCGCATTGTTGCCCTGTTGGTTCAGTCGACGTCTTTGGTGAATCCCACAAACCGTCCATAGGGCCGTTGATTCTGTTCAATCATCGATATACATCGCGGTTAAAGGAAAGAATTTGACATTCGTTAGAACACTCAATGATCCATCCAGAAATCGACGTGGAGCACATGGATCACGCATCTAAAACACATGCAATACAAAAAATGATTACTTAACCAGATCATTGTTGTCACGAGGAGCTTATAGCCCAATAAAAGACAAACAAACGGGCCGTAAATTATGTGGATAACGTTCGGGTTTTCAACCGACTTCATTTGTAAAATCCTTCATATCAAGAAGAAGGATAACCTCGAACACGAATCATTTGTAAGTTGAACGCTCCTTGACTCGAATTCCATCTGATACCGAGCCAGTCCCACTCTTTAAGTCAAATGTAATGCATGAGAGAAACTGGTATCTCAAAAGAACCTGTCTACAGCTAGTTAAAAAATGGAGTCAGAAACCTGGGAAGCCAGAAATTTAATTGCTGGCGTAGAATAAGTTTGTCTTCCATCTTAGTTTTTAAGAGAATGTGACACCTGATTGAGATGTGCGTACACTGGTTGCCGACGTGAAGGGTTTGTTGATACGCGTTGCAATGCTACGTAGTAAACAAGCCGTTCGAAAGGGAACAATCTGTCCAATCCACTCTCGACCGTGTAGAGTTGCACAGCATGTGAACCTGACAGGGAGATGCTGGCCACCTGTAAGGCTGATCATTTGAAATCATTTCAGCTGGTTTTGTGACGCCTCCGTTGACCTATAGAACACAGGATACCACTTTCATCCGGTCCACTGAGGCGGCTTCTATGTAGAAAGGTGACTGTTTTGAAATTGCTGATTGCGATAAATGTTTACCGTGAAGTACGAACCTATGCATAGACAACTTAGGAAGTTTGTTTTGGGGTAAGTAGCTACCTTCTGGTGGACTTTGAAAGGTAAACGCAGTTGGCAATACAAAGCACTAACTCAGTGAAGGATTAGTGTTGGACAATGAAATAATTTCTAGAATTGGCAACCTTTTAGATTTCACCTGATTGGATTCACCACAGCCTAATCCAGCGAAGGTACACGTCCTCTTGTCCGCGGTGGCCTCTCTGTTGGGTAATCACTGGTGTGCGCCTTAGCTACACTGATGCAGCAATCGCTCCAGAATAAGAACAGCCGAAGTTCACCACAGCTCACAGTATCAAGTGTCACTTAAGCGAACCTCCAGTGCATGGCGAATGTTCAGCGTATACCCATCAATGTTGCGGCTTATGAAATTTCACATGACACTGCAAGCTGAATTTTCAAACCTACACACAGAAGTGTACCATCAGTTTGTTTTTCACCACGCAGGAGATAGTGTTTATTCGAGATACATAATCAGTTAATGCATCCATTTGATTTACTGACTCAAATTGTGTCATGATTTGTTGTTTCTTTCACGTAAGAATGCAATACGCCGTGCGGCTTTAAGCATCCGAAACAGTCGTTGATGATAGATGGTAAATGACAGTTTGGCTTGAGGGTACCTTTCTGCTGGAATGTTCACGGCTTCGTGTTACAGACAGTTGTACTAGGATAACAGAAGAGGTTCGATGTTTTTTTATTCATCCCTGATATACACAGTCAAGTTTAGTGCACTACAAATCACCACATACCAGATCACGATACACGTGTGTTTGGTGTTATTTTGGACGTGCGGTAAAAAGTAGCACGAACAATTGATTTTGAGCAGTCGAATTTAGTTCAATTTGTAATTCGGCTGGCTGCATACCACGTTATCGAAGACCGGTTGTTCGCGTGTGTAATAATCTCCGTTTGATTCAGAACATTACGAAACCTCAAAACTGAGTGACTAGGAGAGACCCACTCGCCCTAGTGAAGTCCATATGGTTGCTTCATTTTAATGCGCAGCATCTGCGCACTGATGATGTCTCCTCGTATGGTGACGAAACGTTTGCAAGCCAATTGCCGAATTCGGCGAACAGATCAACAACCGCCTGATCAACAACCAATAATGCGTAGCATATCCCGTTGGAAGCTTATCCAACAGGGAGCGAACTCCGGGAGATATCTATCGCTGTATGAGTAAACGTATAATATTTGTCTGGAAGCAAATATGAAACCTCCATTATAGTATTCTGGCTCAGGATTTTCCCATATTGATTGGCATGCACACTCGGTGA